GCAGAGAGACAAGAAAAGAGATTAGGTCCAAAACACATCATGGGAAACTCAAACTACCAAGCTGTCAAATGGAAAGCTAGGAGATAAGACTCTGGGGTTTTGTATTTTATGCTCCAAGCAACTAATTAAAAAAAAACATGGTATTTCAAGAAAGTAAATCTTTTTCTTCTGTGTAAATAAGTTTGTTTTTTTTAAATCTCATCCTTGTGAATCTAATGCTTAGGCAGCAATTGGTTCCTCAGAACCAACACTGACATGCTTGTGGGGTTTTTTGGGGTTTTTTGGTATTTTTCATTGTGCGTGTGTGTGTGTGTGTGTGCATGCGCACCGGGAAGTCATGTTGACCTCTGGGGGGTGGCTGAATGAAGCCTGCCCCCACCTCCCAACTGCAGGTATTCCAAGGAGGTCTCCCATCCAAGTACTTCCCAGAGTCAACCCTGCTTAGCTTCCGAGATCTGACGAGATCGGGGTTGCCTGGGCTATCCAGAGCAGGGCCTGACATGCTTGTGCTTAAAGGGCCGGATCCAGTTTCCCAAGATCCAACTTGCGTTTCCCCTGCAGCCTCTCTCTCCCAAGCTGTTTTCCCACACTGAACCCCCCGCCCCCGGTGCTGTTATTTCCCCATTTTTGCTGCTGCATGTGGAGTATTCTGTGCCCATGCAGCAGCAAAAAGGGGAATAATTCCCTCCTCCCAGTGCTGTTTTAACTCTTTAAAAATAAGCACATCTAGTTTGACCTCAGAGTGCACCACCAGACAGGTAACTGGGCATAGCTCAGGATAGCTTTTAGGAATGAGCAGTAACCTCTGCAGCCTCACTCCTTATAGTCCATCTGAGCCCCCTTCTTGACAGTCGACTGCCAGTCCACATTTCTCTACCGCCTCTCTAGCCTTTACTGCCTGTCACCCAGCTCAGCATTTGCCTCAACTGAATTCAAATCCATGATCTCTGCAGCAGAATCATCTACCTAATGAATGTCTGCATAATTTACTCTAAACATAGAATTCAGTGGGTTGCCTTGGTACAAATTCAGCCAGGGACATAAATATATATAGCTACATGCACAGCCTTAAATAAGGCTTGGCAAAGAACATGGTTGTGGGCATGGTGAATGGGAAGATCTGGAAAAAAAAGAGGACAGGAGAAAGAGATTTAAAAGATGGCTCTGCTCTCTCTCGGTCTCACACACCTGCAGCTTCACCAGCCTGTCTGTGAGTTCGGTCTTGGCCCTCTCACTCTCGGCCGACCGCAGCTGGAGCTCCTGGACTTGCCCCTCCAGTTTCTTGCGCCGTTGCTCTGACTCCAGTTTGGTCCCTTGCAGAAGTTTCAACTCCTTCTGCATCTCGACATTCTCCCCTTCCAGGGCTTGCTTGGCCTTCTCCAGAGTAGCTTTGAGCTGAGAAACAAGGGGGACGAGGCAGTAATAAGAACCCATAAAAGACCCAACTCTCAAGTTACGTCCCCCTTGCTCGAAGCGACCCCCCCCCCCGGATCACAGGACTTTCAAATGTAGAGCATTCCCCGCCTTAAACCATTACCAGCCTTAACTCCTTTCCCTCCTCCAGCCCCTCCACACCGCAGTCTGGTTTTCACACCCACTGGGACCCCTTGGCTGCCAGATCCTTTCCTTTCCTCTAGCCTACCAGATCTCACCTTCCCAACCTCCAGGTGGGGCCTGGAGATCTCCTGGAATCACAACTGATCTCCAGAGGACAAAGATCAGTTCCCCTGGAGAAAATGGCTGCTTTGGAGGGCAGACTCTATGGCATCACACCCAGATGAAGCCTTCCCTGGTCCAAACTCTGCCTCCCCCTGGGGTCTACCTCCAAAGCTCCAGGAGCTGGCAACCCTAACCCTTCTTTGTCCCAGCAACCAAACTTGCTCCTGCCCCTCCCTCTGCATACCCGACGTGACTGCTCCAGCTGCTCTGACACCTCCTCAAGAGCAGTGGTGTGACGCTGGCGCATTTCCATCACTTGCGCTTCGTGGGTCTTGACTTCCTCCTCTATGGTCTTCTTCAGCTCGGTCACTTCCTGCTCCCGCTTTGACCTGCAATGGAAAGAAGAAAATATGGAGCTGGCAAACCACAGAGGTCCCTCCAGAGTGGCCACTCGTGGGGGAGGGGAGGCCTGCGGCCTATAAAACAAGATGCAGTCACTACTGGGCCAAGGCAGCCCACTGTGCACGTCAGGCTTTTACCGTAGCTCTTGCTGCGCGGCGGTCGAGTCCAGGGTGTCCTCGAGTTCGGTCTTCAGCGCTTCCAGCTCCTCACCCAGGTCACGCCGCTGCTTCTCAGCCTTGGCACGGGCTGCCTTCTCAGACTCCAGATCCTCCTGTAGTTCTGCTAACTGGGCCTGCAGCTCACGCAGTGACTTCAGCACGGCATTCTTCTGTGCTGATTCTTCTTCCACTCTGTCAGGCATGCAAGGAAAGAGCCAGGGTGTGAGTCGAGGGGGAAAGGAGGCGCTGGAGGCACGATGTCCATAAGGGTAAGGACAACAACAAAAGACCTTTGGTGGATGGGACACCGACAGAAAGGGGACGGACCCTCTGCACTGAAGGGGGATGATTCTGACCCATAACTTAAACTGTCATGTCTGCTTCCTGCAGGGCTCTTTTTGTAGCTCTTTTTGCATATTAGGCCACACACCCCTAATGTAGCCAATCCTCCAAGAGCTTACAGAGCTCTTCTTACAGGAGCTACTGTAAGCTCTTTGAGGATTGGCTACATTAGGGGTGTGTTGCTTAATATGCAAATGAGTACCTGCTACAAAAAGAGCCCTGTCAGCAGCCCTGGAAATTGTAGGTTTGTGGTCATGCTGAGGGCCTAACCATACAATACGTTTTTTTCATACTCTGGGAAAATGGATGAGAGAGACAGAAAGAGGGAAATTGGTTTGAAATGCTGTAGTGTTGGAGGAGAGTTTATTGGATATCATGAACAGCCACAGAGAATAGTTTCAGGGCAGCTGGAATATAGGTTCTAGGTCAAATCAAGCCTGAATGCTCCCTAGAAGCTAAAGTAACTGAACAAAGGCTATTGTGCTTTGCAGACTCACTGGAAAAGGCAATAATGCCGGGGAACGCTGAAGGCGGTTGGAAGAGAGGAGGACCCAACCTGAGATGGGTTGTCTCAATAAAGGAAGGCACAGCCTTCAGTTTGCAAGACCTGAGGCAAGGCTGTTAATGATAGGACGTTTTGGAGGTCACTGTAATTTGGAAGTGACTTGATGGCACATCACACACACACACACACACACACACACACACACTTGGGTTGAGTTGGCAGAACACATTCTGGTCCTTTATGTCTCCCAGCTGTGGTGCTGGAGAAGGCTCCTGCACATTCCTTGGACAGCAACGGTGACAAACGAGCAAGTTACTGGAGTGCATAAAACCAGACATGTAATTGGAAGGAAAAATCATAAAACTGCGGCTGACTTATTTCGGCCATGTCATGCGGAAGAGCTCACTAGAAAAAGCTATTGTGCTCGATTGGGTTAGCGGCAAAAGGAAACCGGGCCGCCAAAGGACACGGTGGCTAGAGACCATAAAAGTCAACACCAGCCTGAGCATGGAACGACACAAAGAAACAATGCAAGACTGGAAAACGTGGAGAGAGCTGGCCCATAGAATCGCTAAGAGTCGGGCATGGCTGAATGGCTAACAACAACAAACAATATGTCTCCCAGGTATGCACGGCACAAGGACAGCTCTGGAATGGGAAGTTCTTCGAGGCTTGAGGATGATGACATTTGGGGAGGGGAGGGCGCTCAATGGAGGCGTGACATGCCATGATAGTCCACTCTCTGAAGCTGCTGTTTCCTCCAGGGGACCTGATCTCTGTACTCTGTAGATCAGTCATAATTCAGGGAAAACTCCAGGCCCCACTTTGATGTTGGTAACTCTAGACCAGTGATGGCAAACCTTTTAGAGACCGAGTGCCCAAACTGCAACCCAAAACCCACTTATTTATCGCAAAGTGCCAACACGGCAATTTAACCTGAATCCTGAGGTTTTACTTTAGAAAAAACAACTCATGCATTAACTTAAGATGATCCAAACAAAGTAAGGAAAGCAATCCCAAATGCTTTCATTTACTTAAAATTATTTGGCAGAGAATTCGACACTTCAATGATGGTCTGGGCCTGGCTGGGGCGATGGCACGCGTGCCCACAGAGAGGGCTCTGAGGGCCACCTCTGGCACCCATGCCATAGGTTCGCCACCACTGCTCTAGACTGAAGCCTCCCCCCACCCAGCCATTTTCCTGATCTGAAATGGCCTCTGACAGGGGCATCTATTTGTCCCATTGGGACAACCTACACGGACCCCGTCAGTATACATGGAGCCCCCACCAAGGCAAACAGTGCCCTCCCCCGGCCATTTCAAGTCAGGATGGGGAGAGGCTTAAGCACCTCCTCCCTGCATGCTGAAGTCCCAATCCAAACCAAAAGCCTGCGCACACCTGGGAGGCACAGACTCCCAGAACACCTCTGCCGACTCAGCCCAGGAGGAATGGATTGTGTGGTCATGTCCTCAGTTAGAGGACCTCGGCCTAACTTCCTCAGTCTAACGTCATCTCAAAATTACATTTACCAGATTTTCCTGGGAGGCAGCCAAGACACAGATCTAATTTCGGGTTGGAGAGCAGACATTCCCCAAGTTCCCAGAATGGCTCTTCTCGAGAGTTCAGCCAATAGCTGCATGGCTTGTACTCCCCTGACCCCCCAACCACAACATTCCGTTTCTTTAGTCATTCAACGTCCTCAAAAGAATTCCTATGAATGGAAAGATGGTTGCTTATGCAGGAAACTATGGCGACCTTCTCTTAGCAAGCCATTCAGAGAGGTTAGTACCAGAAAGGATAATTAGGTTTCGAGTTCCCGAGTCAGAATCTTGAAAGGAAAAAGACAGGATTGGGAGGTTCTCGTGCTGGCCCCAACATTTCCTTCACCACCACCACTGTGGGCTTTGTACAGGACAGGAAGAAGAAAGCTCACAGCATCGGTCGGCACGTGTCATCTTTATTTTACGCATTTAGTTAGCTGCTTCAACTTTTAAAGCTTTCAAAGCAACTTACCAAAAAGGGGGAAAGGGTGCCTCAATGATAATGTGTTTTAATAGCCTCAGGTGGAAAAGATGACTGTTAGACCATCAAGGAACCTCTACCCTCTTGGCTGCTCTGAAAGATGGGAGAACCCCGGAGAGCCACCAATGAAATCGTCTCTGTTTATTGAGCCTGCAGATCCTGCAGCAAGGAGATCTCTGTGATGAACCCAACTACACAAGACGCTTGATGCTACCGTCCCCTCCAACGGATCCAAAATGCCCTATGCTCGCACGCACAAAGAAATATACAGACTGCAAAGACACCGCTTTTAGGGACACCAGAACTTCCCCGGTTCCTTCCCTTCCATGACCACCGGCAAAGCTCCGTGCAAGCGGGAGGGTCCGACTCGCCTACCTGGCCAGGGCTGCCTGCAGCTCGGCCTCCTTCCTTGCCAGCGCTTGGCGGAGCTCTTCCAGCTGCTGCTGAAGCTCCACGACTTGTTCCTGCAGATCACCTGCCTCCCCGTCCAGCTTGCGCTTCAGCTTCTCCAGCTCCTGGCGCCCCTTCTCTTCCTTCTTTAGCCGATCTGGAGGTGTGGGGGGAAATAACAGGAGAGTTGGGCTACAAAACCCAGCACTGCTTCAGAGAGGGACTCTTCAGGAATCCTCAGCGTCCCACGTGGCTGAGAAACAAAGGTGGGGCGGGGGGGAGAAGGGCATCACCTGCTTCCCACAAGAGCAACATGCACCGTTCCTTGCTATGAGCCAGCCTGTGGTTTTTCCACAAAGGAACGCCTGCTGTCAGAACAGCTCTTAGCAAAATCCAGGCAAGCTCTCCTTGGTACACCTTGCCCTGTTCCCTGGCGCACCTTCCATGTCGGCTATGACTGCTTCGTATTTGTTGCGCAGTTTAGACAGGCTCTTCACCTTCTCCTCCTCTTCTGCCATGTGACAGGTGAACTCTGAAAGACGTTCCTCCATCAGCTTCCTCTCCTGGGAGAGGAGAAGCAAGGCGAGATTAAGGAACGGACATCCTACTGTTCTCCTGGGCCGATGTGCCCCCCCCCCCAGCCTAGCCGGGACCTTTGCAAAGCCCCTAAACACTCCCTTCAGCTCCTCGTCTTCCTAAAAGAGTGTGGTTCTTTTTGGTGGCTGGAACTCCTCGCCTGTCCAGCCAGCCACCACGCTAGACCAGAACTCCAAAACTGCATGCCGGAAAGGCAAGATGAAACCCAACCTGGACGACCGTAGATCTTCCCCTCGCAGAAGATGACTCACACAAACACAACGTGGACACACAGACACACCAACGTGCCTTCCAGGGGGAAGGGAAGCAGCTGGGTGTTACACTCACTTTGAGCAGCTTCGAGTTTTGGTCTTCCAGCACCAGCAAGTCCTCCTCCATTTTTTTCAGCTTAGCTTCCGTGCTGACTTTCTCCAGCTGCAGCTTCTGCCGGGCAGCTTCTTCTTCCTCCAGCTGCTCCTCGAGGTCCTACACAGGTTCATGGGGGTGGGGGTGGAGAGACAGCAAGAGCACTGAGTGACAGTCAGGCCTCAATGGGTGTGGGGTGCCCAGCCCCAAGACCTGTCTCAAGGAGAGCATTCTGATGAGCCTGATTCTGAGGGCCAAAGCGACACGTTATGATTTCCAGAGTGACTTGCGTGGCTGCAGAATACTGCCCATGCATCTCCGGAATGGGGCAAATAATCCTCCCCGGTGTGTTTTGGCTCCAGAAAATGGCACCGAGAGAAGACAAGAGCTCCTTCTCCCCCCGTGCTTTGGCCCCACGAGGACTCAGGCCCCTTGGGACTTTTAAAATGTGGCTGTGCAGCTGCAGGGAATGCAAGTCGGGTTGAGGGAACCTGGTCCCAACGCGTTAGAAATCACCACGTCTCACTTGGCCCTTGGACCACTGCAATGTGCTTCATTGATGTGCTATGTTTAAGACTCTGGAAAGGGAGCTTAGAAGTCTCCTGAATAAATTGTTTAGGTCCTGCCTGTCTGCCAACAGGCATAGAGAGGAACTCGCAACACACACACACAAACTCAACAACAACCAAAAGCAAGCCATTAAACTCATGCTAATTATAAAAAGAGTAGCTGAGAATAAGGACACACGACACAAAAGTGTGGACCCACTAAAAGCTCATGGGGGCAAGCAAATTCCACTGCCTTCTTGGCAAGTAAGATGGACGAGGCGAGATGGGCCTTTTCGAATAACACAGCGGTGCCACCACAGGAAAAGACCTACCCTGCATAACCACCAGCCAAGATTATGTGTGAACTGCACTTGTTTTGCAGTTCCCCGCCCAAGCACAGCCCACCTCGTTCAACTATACCAAACTGAGCAATGTTAAGCTATTATACCATATACACATACACACACACACATATATATATATTCTGAAAAGGGATTGTCCTTAATACCTGTAAAATTGCCCTCACATTATGTTTTGGGTAATTATATTTGCTATGTGCCTTTTCCTATTCCGTCTTTCTTTCTGTATCCCTTATAATTAAAAAAATCCAAAAAAAACCCCTAAGCAATGTCCTCCTATTCTGCCCCCTACAACTAACACTGCCCCCTTTCTGAGGGAGGGACACAGCTGCTTCCGCCCAGCAGCCTCTGCAGTGCATGCAGTCCCCCTGCTCATCAGTCACTCTCCCTTCCCACCTGCACGTGCTGCTGCATCTTCTTCTTGTCCGTCTGCAGCTGCTGGCAGCGCTCCTCTTCCTCTTCCACCCGCGACTCCAGCTCGTGCAGAATGTCCTCCAGCTCTTGCTTCCGAGCTGCCAGCCGCGCCCGCATCTCCTCGGCTTCGGCAAAGAGCTCCGTCTCGGCCTGCAGCTGCTCAGCCAGGATGGACTTCTCCTCCGAAAGCTACCGTGAAATTGGGATCAGGGAGGAGAGACAGGCACGGGGTTCAGAGAGTCTCTCCTTCGGGCCTTTAGCCCATAACACAGGGGTGGGCACCTTTGGGAGGCCCCAAGAGCCACACCCAGCTCTCCTCTTGCTGTCGAGGGCTCTGAGTTGGTCGCCGGGCTTCTGCCCCCGTTTCTTGCACCCCAGTGCAAGGCACGGGGACAGGAAGACCCGTGTCAAACTCAGAACCATCGCAGGCAGGTGGGAACCCAGATGTGGCTCAGTCTGGAGATCCTGATGGCCCTAAAACAACTTTTCAGGATCATCCCCTCGCTAGCCAATGCAACGATTCCACAGGGTGATACTCCCATCAGATGAATGAATAAATAAATAAAGGTGGGCAAATTATGGCCCACTGACCACTTCTGACTCTCCAAGCTATTTAAGAGCCAGATGTGGCCCGTGGGCTGCAATCTGCCCACTTTTATTTATGTTGCTCTGTTTCAAGTCCGCCTTTCTCAGTAAGACTCAACTCAATACCGTCAATATGACGAGACAGCCAACAAGCAATGAATGAGGACTAGGAGTACAGAAATCCAAATAAGCACAGCAGATACGATATGGAGTGCAGATACAATGCAGACAAATGGTATCACATCAGTAGAAAACAATGCAGTGACAACAAGGTAGCAGATACAGCAAACAGATGATATGTCCTATACACAGTGGTATAGTCCACATGAGAAGACAAGAGTCACTGGGAAAGACAATAATGCCAGGCAAATTTGAAGGCAGCTAGAAAAGAGGAAGACCCAACAAGAGGTGGATCGACTCAATGACAGTAACAAGGATCAGGTAGTAAGTGATGTAACAAGGTAGTAAGTGATGTGAAAGACCTCTTCCTGAAACCTGTAGAGCCACTGCCAGCCACAGTAGATAGTACTGACCTGGACAGACTAAGGACCTGACTCGGTAGAAGGCAGCTTCATATGTTTGTGTCAGGAGGTACGGCCGGGGGCAGAGAAAACATAGTATGGACTAGAAACTTTACACCGAATGCAAGAGAAACACGGAGTATGCGGATGTAAAGGGGGAGACTGAGAATGTGTTCCTAGCAAACAAAGAGAAGTGTAACAGGAACAGCCTATTAGGAAAGGATTTGAGTACTGAGATGGATCAAGAATGAAGGCAAGGAGGATAGTACAGTAAATGTAGGTAAGATGGCAAGGAGGGGCTCAGCTGGAGTTAGAAGGGGAGGCTGACAGAGCATCTGCTTTGCAAGCAGAAAATCCCAGGTTCAATCCCAGCCTCTTCAGTTGAAAGGGTCAGATCAGAGGTGATGTAGAAGACCCTGACCTGAGACCATAGAGAGCTGCTGCCTGTCACAGTAGACAAGCCTGACCTGGAAAGGCCACGGATCTGACTCAGTATAAAGCAACTTTGTGTGGGCTGCATGGGTTCAAGTATGTTCAAGAAGGAAGTAGGATTTGTTTGGTTTTTTTTGGGGGGAAGGGTTAGCAACAGGTGGTACTGGACTGCCGGGATTCTCTAGGCCCACTCCCTGCTCACCTGCTGGTACTTGTTTTCCAGTTCCTTAAGGTCCGTCTGTGTTTTTGTGTGTTTCTCTTGCACCTTCTGCAGCTCCAGTGCCTTGGCTTGCATCACCTCATCCTGGCGTGTCACCTGCAAGAGGGGCTTCACCTGCCAAACACACAAAGAGGAGAGGGCTGCTGAGAGAGCCAAGCTAAGGAAGGGGGGTGTTGGGTGGGGAACCCCCTCTGCAAATACTCTGTCTGGCAAGGCTTCCGAAGGCTTCTCGCCTTAAATGTGACCCTGTCGTGTGGACAGCAGGGGTCAGGAAAGCAGGAAGGCATGAAAGAAAGTGGGGAAGTTGTGTACAGCAGTGCCTTTATGCATCAAAGCCTTTACTGAATACTGCACACAGGCCCTGATCCTTTGCTTCACAATAGCGAGGGCATGAAGCAGGGTTCGTTGTTGTTGTTGTTTTAAAAGCAAAGTTCTTCATTCACCAAGTGATTAAAAGGTGAAATTCACTGCCAGAGGATGTACGAATGGCCATAAGCAGAGATGGCGAGATAAATTCACAGGGGTTAGGCCCATTAGCAGTTAACGGCTATGGTGACTAAAGGAAGCCTTCAAACTTTCAGACAGTATACCAGCGCTCAGAGGCAACATCAGGGGAAGGCCTTAGCCCAGAGGTGTCAAACTCATTTGTTACAAGGGCCAGATCTGACATAAATGTCCCTTTGTCAGGCCAGGCCATGTGCGCCATAAAATGTAACCCCAGGTACTAGAGGTATAAACTTTATAAAGGACACAGGCAAACCCAATTAACAATACTGGTTTTTTACTCAAAATACACACATGCTCAAAACATTAACAGTCTTACGGTATTTCCTTACAGTATCTCCCTGATGCCCACCCTCCCACTTCCACCACCCATTACTCATTGGCACTATGACAGTATACAGCCTCTGTCATCTGGCAATAAACCAGTTGATTGCGGGCTGGATAAGAGCCCTGTGTGTGACACCCCTGCCTCAGCCTCTGTGCCCTGCAGCTGGCCCTCCAGCAGAACTGGTTGGCCACCATGTGAGACCACTGGTCTGATCCAGCAGAGCTCTTCTTACGTTCTTAGAGTTGTTGTGTTTGGGACCCGGATCAGAACAGGTTAAGATTTTTTACCCTTTTAGGTAAATCCACCAACTATGGTGGGAGAGGCCATAATCATGCCTTTTACTCTGCTATCAAAAACAAAGAACATAAGAACATAAGAGATGCCAATGTTGGATAAGGCCAAAGGCCCATCCAGTCCAACACTCTGTATCACACAGTGGCCAGAAATACCAGTGCCATCGGGAGGTCCACCAGTGGGGCCAGGACATTAGAAGCCCTCCTACTGTTGACCCCCCCCCCAAGCACCAAGATGACAGAGCATCACTTGCCCCAGAGCCCCTATCTATACCTTGTGCCTAATAGCCACTGATGGACCTCTGCTCCATATGCTTATCTAATTCCCTTTTGAAGCCGTCCATGCTTGTAGCCGCCACCACTTCCTGTGGCAGTGAATTCCAAGTGTTAATCACTCTTTGGGTGAAGAAGTACTTCCTTTTATCCGTTCTAACCCGACCACTCAGCAATTTCATGGAGTGCCCACGAGTTCTTGTATTGTGAGAAAGGGAGAAAAGTACCTCTTTCTCTACCTGCTCTTTCCCATGCATAATCTTATAAACCTCAATCATGTCACCCCTCAGTCGTCGTTTCTCCAAGCTAAAGAGCCCTAAGCGCCTTAACCTTTCCTCATAGGGAAAGTGTTCCAACCCTTTTATCATTTTATCCCCATCCTGCACCAGACCGGGCAATTCAACACTTGTCTCATGCAAAAAGAGTCACGTGGGTTGCCAAAACCACAACAATGCTATGTCTAAACTGACCTACTTGATTAGAGGTAAAACTCAACCAATTTAGCTCCTTTTGATTTTGAGTACCAGGTGTCCGCAATCCCACTCTGGGGTTTCTTCTTCCAGGAACTGAGCTGCCAATACCCACTCTCATAATTGCTCCCTCCAAAACCCATTAGCCTCTCGTTTCCTGAAAAACAGCACCCCACGGCCGAACCATTCCCCTCACCTTGGTGAAGAGACGCCACCACTGCCAGTGGCGCAGCTTGAGGTAGGCTGCACAGTTGCGCTGCATGACCTTGAGGGCGCTCATCTGCTGCTGCTTCTTCATGAAAGCCCTGCCAGGGAGACACATGAGAGCGATCTGGGTAAGCTGAGGTCCCTGCCCGCAGCTCTGAGGGGAGGGGACGACACCCGGCCTGGGGGCAGCCTGTGCACAAATTCCTTGCCATTCTTTACGGCAAGCAGGAAAAGAATTCTACAACACATGCATAAAGGCAACAGTGCTTGATTAACATACTCTCTTTAGGCGACACATTCCAAAGAAATGGGAAGTGTACAGGAAGGCGGATCGGGAGCCTGCTCTGACCCACTAGCGCCCAGTTATTGGCCGCTGACGAAGTCCAAATTTTGTCCCTCTAAACGACAGAGGCCGTTTGTCAGCAAGCTGCCAAATTTCTTTTATTTTGGTTTCCCCATGTATGCGCTTGAGTGCTTTCGCTTTCATATGTAGACCTGTTGAAGCGCTTAATTGCTTAGCTGCTGGAGCATGTATATCTCTCAAGGCCACAGGTGGTTGCTGCTGGATAGTTGCTTTGGTGATCTCACAAAGGGCCGTGGGAAGGAGATATGTTATGCCACCTAGAAGCATTTGCTCCCAGGCCCGATGGTGCGTGGGAAGTCCTGCAATTGGGCCTCAGCTGTTTGCTCGTTGCTTCCCCCCCCCATTCCTAACAGTGATCCTGTACATGCACCTATAGCTTCAAATAAAGAAAAACCTTTCTGCAAGAGTGTACTTCATTGATGCTGTGGGGAAGCCTGACACCGTTGCTCCTCCGTAACAGGCACCCTTTATGCAGCTGATGGCCCCCAGGTTCAACCTCTGGTTAGAGAGGAGACCTTGACGGAGCTGTAGCCAATCAGGGCTGACAGCACCGTGCCAGCCGGGGGAACCAGCAGCCCGGCACAGCAGAGGGGTAGTAGGGGTGATGAAGCCTTTTTAAAAAATGGCAGATGAAACCATAAACCTGTATCCAGGCTGCACCTGTTTCACACAGGAGGCCAAAGCCCACCTGGCCCAACTCAAATGGGCCTCTGTACAGAAGAACCCTTCCATGCAGGAAAACACAGGTCAGAGGGCTCCGGCCCTGGACAGCCTCTGCCACATCAGTTTACTACAAGCAAAGAATTTTACATGGTGAAGGAACATTCAGCTAAATATGGCCTGGCCAGTGGGCCTGACGTGTGGCCCTTCCCTGGCAGAGGCTCACCCCCTCCTCTGCTGACTGTGAGCACGCGGCCCAGCTCCTGGCCAGCGGTGCTCTCTAACCCACCCATGGAGGACCACGTGACAGCGCCTCCTGCTCCACATCTGCTGAAGCTCCCACCCTTTCCAGGGAGGCCGGAGCCTTCTTGCTTCCCTGACCGACTCGTCTGACCGACAAGAGCTGGCATCCCTTGGAAATCTGCCCCGGTCGTTGTTCCTCTGTACAGAAGAACCCTTCCATGCAGAAAAACACAGGTCAGAGGGCTCCAGCCCTGGACAGCCTCTGCCACATCAATTTTCTACAAGCAAAGAATTTTACAAGGTGAAGGAACATTCCGCTAAATGTGGCCTGGCCCGTGGGCCTGACGCGTGGCCCTTCCCTGGCAGAGGCTCACCACCTCCTCTGCTGACTGTGAGTACACGGCCCAGCTCCTGGCCAGCGGTGCTCTCTAATCCACCCACGGAGGAGCCCCACGTGACAGCGCCTCCTGCTCCACATCTGCTGAAGCTCCCACCCTTTCCAGGGAGCCTGGAACCTTCTGGCTTCCCTGACCGACTCGTCTGACCTACAAGAGCTGGCATCCCTTGGAAATCCGCCCTGGTCGTTGCTCAGTGCTCACCTGCGAGCCAGGTATCCCCGGGCCGCAGCCTGGAAGGACACGATGATGTCTGTAATCTTCAGGTCCCGCTCTTCTTCCAGGTGAGCCAAAACGCCAGCCCGGAAGAAGATCTTACTCTGGCCGATGCGGTAGAGGTTGGGGTCCAGCTCTAAAGCCTTGATCTGTCAGGGGGAGGGAAAAAAAGGAGAAGGCGGCAGGCGTTAAACACCAAAACTCTCAGACCCTCGGGGACCAGACCTGCTTCTAGTATTCCCTCCTGTCCTCTGTTTTGCTCAGTGAGCCCAACCTACCATGCGTTCGCAGGCCTGTTTCCCATCCATGAAGCCCTTGGGGATGGCATTTGGAGTGAGGATCTCATACCTTGTCGGGGAAATTGACACATCAGAGGGTTAGAAATGGCATTTATGGCATTCCTCCCCACGCTTTAAATCCTTGTCATGCCTCACATTTAAATCCTACCTTTCCTCCAAGGAGCTCTGGGGAGTTATTCTGTGTCCCCCCCCATCCACTAAAATGGGTCTGTCAGTCTTTCAGGTTAGTCTAAGTACATCCAGTGAGATTCACGGCTTCTTGGGGGGATTCAGACTCAGGCCTCTTGGGTCCAAGTCAAGGCTTAAACCACTACACCACACTGGCCCTCAGCAAGGAGTGGAGTGGAGTGGAAGGGCCCATGTATCAGATCCTAGACAGTTCCCATCCATGAAGCCCTTGGGGATGGCGTTTGGAGTGAGGATCTCATACCTTGTCAGGGAAATTGACACATTGGAGGGTTAGAAATGGCATTTATGGCTCCCCCCCTCCCGTTTAAATCCTTGTCATGCCTCACATTTAAATCCTACCTTTCCTCCAAGGAGCT